GTGTGTGTGTGTGTGTGTGTGTGTGTGTGTGTGTGTGTGTGTGTGTGATAGAATGAGTATGGAGAACTTCTATCCCAGAGATCAAACTCAGGTTGTAAGGCTTGGTGGCAGGTACCTTTACCCCTCAGCCTTCAAAATAATTTTTCTTTGAGAATTTTAATATTTCTCTGAAGACTTTAAAGCTATGAACAAAACTGAAATGAGAAGTAACTTTTACTAATCATGTAGCTGCTGTTGAAAGCCTCAGAGCAGCAGAGCTGGCTGGAAATGAGAAGGCTGTGTGGGTGGGGCTGTGACTGCTGGTGACCCCAGGGAGCTATAGTGTTTAGAGCCCAATGGCAGTAGCAAGAATTTGGAGGAGAATGGTAAGCACACATGTTAAGATGAGAATGAGCATAGGCTGAAGGGCAGGTGGGTTGGAAAAGAATTAGGAGTCAAATGATGCTATGGGAGAGAGAGGGGAGGAGGAATGGAAGGAGGGAGGGAGAGAAGAAAGGAAGGAGGGAGGGAGGGAGAGAAGGAAGGAAGGAGGGAGGGAGGGAAGAAGTGAAGGGAAGGGAAGGGAAGGGAAGGGAAGGGAAGGGAAGGGAAGGGAAGGGAAGGGAAGGGAAGAGAAGAGAAGAGAAGAGAAGAGAAGAGAAGAGAAGAGAAGAGAAAAGTGGGGGGGGGGCTCCTTCCAGCTGCCCAGATAAGATCTTACTGCCCAGATGGTAGCTTTGCTGTTTCTCCATCCCCAGATTCCCTGCCTAGGCACCACTCTCCCCACTTTTCTGTAAGGGTATGTGATTCCACATGTTCACCTAACATCTTTAAACAGCAGGTGGTACTGTAGCTCCATCTTCAGAGAAAACAACAACTAAGACCCACATAAGTGAGGTCACCCCAGAGGGACACAGAGTGGATATTTTATCGTGGCCATGACACAATCTGATGCTCACTTTGCTGTCCTATGGCTTTGGCTGAAACAATTCCCAAGCCTGTCCCCTAACCCAGAATTCACACACATGAACCCAGGATAGATTTAGAGGATTCCTACAGGTGCTCTGGGACCTTTAACATCACTTCCCACAGCCTAATGGTGAGGTTTCAGGAGAGCAAGAACTAGGGCTGTGTGGGTCCTTTTCCTTCTTTCTTAACCTCCAGCTAGCACTGAAGGTCAGAGAGGGTTCAAGCATGAAGCTATACCGTCCTGAAGCTCCCTTCCTGGTCCAGCTCAGGGTCATGAGTTTTTGTTTTATGGTTTGATGTTTGCTTGGTAGACATTTTGAGGAGAATGACTTGGGAATGACCTGGAATCTTCCATGCTAAGTGCATACCCTGCCACATACTAAGCACACGTTCTTCCACATGCTAAGTGTATGTTCTGCCTCTGAGCCATACCCATTGCTCTTTCAAAGTAAACTCCATTTTTTCCTTTTTTCTCCTTTTGTCCATGTCTTGTTCTGTGTCTTAGTCTTGCCTGGAATGTGTGATCCTCCTGCTGGTCATCCTGAGTGCTGGTCTCACATGTGAGCCACCATGCCCAATTAGGAAAACCAAATTCCTTAAGAATGCATATGTATGCATGTGTGTATTTTGTGTTTGTGCATGCATGTGTATACTGGTGTGTTTGTGTGTTCATGCTGGTGTGTATATGTATGTTTTGTAAATGTGTGTATATGTATATATACTGGTGTGTGTATGTGTTTGCATATATATGTATGTGTATGTGCATGCACACATATAGGCCAGAGGTCATCCTTGGGTGTGATTCTTCAGGTACCATTTACCTTATATTTTTGAGACAGGGTCTCTCGCTAGCCAAGGGCTTGCTAATTAGGCTACACTGTGTAGTGAGCTAGCCTCAGGGAGCTACCTGTTTCTGTCTCCCCAGTCCTGGAATTACAAGTGTAAGCCACTGTGCCTGGATTCTTTATGTGGGTTTTGAGGATCAACCTTAGGCTCTGTGCTTACAAGACAATAATTTACATCTGAGCTATCTACCATTCAACCGGAAAGTAAATTCTTAACTCCTTCTGTAAAGTTATTGAAAACCCTGCTGATATGTAAAGCAATCACTAGCAAAGTGCCAGATGTTAGGATTCTAGGTTTTGCTGAACTAACTTCACAGCCTAGTCTAACCTCTCTGGGTTTCGATTTTCCCTTGAGTTCATTATGTAAGCAAGAATGACCCTAAACGTCTGATCCTGAGAATACAGTCATGTGCTACGACACCTGGATCAAGGGGAATTGGAGGTGGGGCTTCCTGCCCTTTAGGCAAATACTCTACTAGCTGAGCTGTATCCCCAGCTCCCAATCCTTTGATCTTAAATTTCTATTGTTCTTTGAGTTTGAACAGACATTTAACATTTAAAATATTCTTAATATTCTTTTATTTCTTCTTCCTTCATTTCTAGAAGGAGTATCTAGGTAATATTAAATTCTAGTACCACTCAGGACACGAGTCGGCAGGGGTCCCATGCTCATTGGGAAGGCTATGGTTCTAAGATGTAACTAAGAGAAGCTCACAAGAGCCCATTGGAATAGCGCTGAGGAACTTTCTTATGGGGATTCGGAGGTGAGGGATGTGCAGTGCCATCCCTCTTGTGGAACCAAGACCAAAGCTGATGTATGGCTCAGCTGGGCCATTACAGAACTCTCCATGTCAGGCCTGAGTGCTTTCTCAGGTGAAGGCTTTTGTCTATAAAGACCTGGCCAAAGGGTATGATTACATCAGGAACTTACACATGTTCTGTTAATACAGATGTTTTTGTGGAAGGTATGGTCTCTGATGACCTGCTTATTGAGCTGAGAGGAAGAATACAGTACAGGGCATTAGGGCAGAGGCAATGATGCCTTAAAAATTCTATGGAAAACTGTATATATTTTGAATATGGGGAGGTGCTAATAATAAATTAGTGGTATTTGCATGTATCATAGGGAAAGGGCATTTAAAAATAATGATTTAAGATGTCATTTTAAAAATACTTATTGAATCATTTTGTCCTTAGGTGATTACAAATTCTAGCCATCTCCCAAGAGACAGAATAGCTGAAGACTTTGTTTGGGCTCAGTGGGATATGTCAGAGCAGAGACTATACTACATTGAACTAAAGGTAAAAACTAGCCCATGGGTACCTATTTCTATGGAAACAATATAATTTTGACATCATTGCTGTGTTGATATCTATTTATTTTATTTATGCATATGGATGTTTTACCTGGAAGTACACCTATGTGTCATGCATGTACAGTGCCTGTGGAGGGTAGAAGAGGGGGCTGGATCCCTGGGGACTGGAGTTACAGATGGTTAGGAACCACCATGTGTGTCCCAGGAATCTAGCCCAGGTCCTCAGGAGGAGCAGCCAGTGCTCTTCCCCACTGAGACCCCTGGTCTTTAATAGCCGCAGTATCTTTAATGGGGGCAGTCAGTGAGGGTTTATTACAGATAATGAACAGTTTTTCATTATTGCTTCTTGACTGTGTTTTCTCTTAAGTCTTTTTATTTGGGGGATAATATGCCAGGCATTTCTTTTCTAGACATCAAGGAGTATCTTGAAATGCATCCAGTTTTGGGCAGATGAAAGTTTTAACTTAATGGTAAGTACATAGAATGATCACTCCTAGGAAACTTTTACTAGAGTCATTAGCCAAAAATTGGGCATTTTGCTATTGCAGCAACCACTTGCATGATCAAATAACTTGGCTTGTGCTGTCACAATGCCTCAGCTCTCTAACAAGTGCAGAGTTGATACAGGTGAAGAGGACAGCATGCAGAGGAGAGTGTGTTTTTAAGGTAACCACCCTACCAGGGGCTTAGAGAAAGGTAATAGGTGTGACCAAGAGTAGATCACACTAAGTGGTTGCAAGTTATTTGACTCACAATTAGAATGGGTTTGAGGAAGAAAGTCTGAGTGTATAGTTTAGTAAGTACCCACCATTGGCCTTGGAAAAGCCGTTGGGGTCAGTCTGTCTATGGGAAGGTGCCTCTTATGTCTTTATCTGGGATGGACAGTGTTTCTTTCCTTTCTTAGGACCAATATTGGTATCAAGCACATATTGGTTTCACACTATTACAAGACTTTCTTATCATTTCATGCCCCATTTTTAGCCCACCCACACACTCCAAAAGACATCCCAGGCTCCCTTCCTTCCACAACTATCTATGGCTTGTGAAAGATGGCAGCTGTCAATCGTCCTCGTACAGTGTACAATCTATTGGTGATATTCAAGTTAAAGACAGAGTCAGCCTTGCAGGGAAGCATACACTGACCATGTCTGTAAACTCCAGGATTCCCAGTGAAGTTCCTGCACTGTGGGGTGTGGGTCTAGCCTCTGGAGGTGATGGGTAAAGGGACTCTTTACCACCAGGCCAGCCGAGCACTGCCAGTTTGCTTTGCATTCACAACCGTTATTATGTAATGCCGTTTTTTACTTAACCTTTTTGAGAATATACATTCTTTTCTAAATCCATGGTCTTTTCTTGCATTCATTTTTATTGTATATGTACATGAATATGTATATGCATGTATATTTCTTTTTTATCAATCATTCCATTTGTTTACATCTTGTCTGTATATTTATATTCAGTCTGTGTGTCACTTATTTGCATGTTTTCAGGGATGAGCATTTGTCACGGAACAACCCATTCATGTGCTCTTTTCTGGGGAAGGTCTGTAATGTCTGTGATGATGATGCCATTTTTAATGCTTATATCCTCCTTATTTCTTTTGACAGTTTGAAATGCCCTTGGACATATCATTAAGTGGCTTGAGATTTAAGTAAGTTATCCACCAAATGTTAAATTTCATAGATATTTATAGGTAGCAAAATGATGATCTAATTATGGTAGGTAGATACTCAGACAATCTGATATTTTGTGCACCTATCTTAAGATTTATTTTTCTTTATTTTATGTGTGTGGGTGTTTAGCCTGCATATATGTCTGTGCCACACGTGTACAATGTTTGCAGAGACCAGAAGAGGGTGTCAGATCCCCTGGAACTGGAGTTACAAGCAGTTGTGAGCTGCTATGTGTGTTCTGATTATCAGACCTGGGTCCTCCAGAAGAGCAGCCAGTGTTCTTAATGGATGAGCCACGCCCCTTGTGGATCTAATTAACATTCCCGTTCTTTATAGAATATAAACTGATTTATTAAGCAGGAATACAGGATTAAATGTATAAAGTCAACTGTGTTGATTTTCTTAGCCATGTTTTCCTGCGGGGCAGCTGCATTTATTTTGATGTGTGGAAGTGCTTGTCTCCGTGTCATTAAACAGAGAGGGTTTATGATTCAGCATGAACTCATTTAGATCAAACATCAAAATGCTTTCTTATTGCCAACAAGAGGTCACAGGTCAATCCACTTATAACTCAGCCCAGTCTCTTGTTTTATTTTTTCTGTTTTCCTTTTTGTACAAAAGGCAAGGTTTTTCTTTTTATAGAGTATTTAATGTGTAGTAAAAAGCTATAGTAATAAAAACAACAACAAGAAGACAAAACATAAAACATCAAAGAAAGAAAAGTCTTCCAAAATGAGAAATGGCGGTCTTAAACTGTTCAGTATTGCATTAGCTTTATTTAAACATCTATAGATACTTAATTGTACCTATTTTGAAACATAGTATTATATTTTAGATAATACTACCATAAATCCCCAAATTACAAAAACATATGTTGTAAGTAATATCATTTTCTGTCTATTGCCAAGGCTATACTGTTAAGCACCATTTATATTTTTAGTCACTGTTTTACATGAATTAACAAACATTGTCTGCTGAAATGTATAGGAAGCATTTCTGTACCTCTGTGAGTGTGTTGTAGTGCTCATAGCATGAATGAGAGGAGTATGTTTTTTAAAATGTGTTCAATCACTTCTTTTCCTTTGTAATCTTAGACTCGTCAACTTTGGATATGATTATCGTCAAGACCAAGAGAAGCTATACAATCAGCCTTCTCTCTGCATTTTTACCAACCACACAGGTAGAGTCAGGATCATGCTTACCAATTTCTACTTTAATTTGTATACAGGTTCTATACAATTTGTATAGGACTTGAGTTCTATAGAAAATACCATTATGGTTCAACTACGTGAACAGTATTGTTAAATAAATTGTTATTTATAAAAGTATTATCAAAGAAAGAAAATGAATTATAACAGTCACATTACTATAGAAATCAAGTGGATATGACACATAGACCAAACCAGTACAATTCTGTCATCCCTTTCTGTCACTTCCATTATAATTTTATATATATTTTGCATTTATGAAAAAGCCATCACCAACAGTGCTATTGTTCTAATAGGTTTTATTGGTATTGTTTTAATAGAGTGGGTAGATTCATATTTTTTCAATGAAAAATTTCCAATGGGGATGGAAATGCTTTCTTTGTCAGTCTTACTGATGTCTTGGGTTATGATTATTTCTTTTTTACATTTTTTGCATGTATTTTATGTCTAGGGGTACATGTGTGGACATTGCACGTGTATGTATGTGGAGATCAGAGAAAATTTGTGGGAGGAGATTCTTTCACCTTGAGGTTCATGTCATCAGGCTTGGTAGCTAGTGCTTTTATTGGTAGCGCTATCTTACTTGCCCAGGTTGAAATCTAAACCCATATCCCTGGTTTAGTTTAAATGCGATGTCATGGCTGGTGTTGAGGAAGTCAGAAATTGACACATAGCTGTTTATACAGAGATCATGAAGAGGGAGAGATGGTTGGAAAGATGTGCATTAACAAACTATGCTATATGCCTGTATAGTGTTGGGGTCTGGGAATCACTGCACAAGCTACACAGACAACCAATCTCAGTCAAATAGGGATGGATTATTGAATGCCACACCCTAAGACTGATCAATCAGGGACATAGGTCAGACTTGGAAGCCAATTGTGATCTTGACTCAAGATCCTATAGGGCTTTTTTAATCCTAAGATCTATAAACATCTGTGTCAAGTTATTCCACCAATTAGGGGACTTCCTTAGGAACATGTCTTTGTTGTATACTTACCCTGCTCCCATTTGTCGGGGTATTCAACTATGGCAGGTGACTTGCCTTGTCTAATGCCTTAACTTGCCAACCAGGATGTCAGCTACCCATGTACATGTCTTCCTGACAAGTAGGATGTCAGTTCCCAGGGATGTTTTGGGAACTTAAACTTTACTCAACCCCCACTCAAAATGGAAGTCTTATTCCAAATAGCTTCTTATATTGGTGCAAGTGTCTCCCTTATGTTAGGGTCCATCTCAGGGGCAGCTTATAAAGACAATGTTATAAAAGCTTATACACAAGTGTAGGAAGTGTTGTTGGGGGGTTGGTTTGAGTTCAAGCTTACCGTACCTAACTATACAAAGCAATTCTACTGACTTGTATCATGACTGGTTTCCAAGGGCACAGAATATAACAGACTATGTAGTTAACTTGACACAAGAAAGTTTCTATTAACAGTGGAAACAATGTATGAGAACGTTTCCTTATTAGTAACAGCAAAAAGTGGCAGGCTAGACAGCCAACAGTTACCTAGGCTTTAACATTCTGTCTAGGCCTTAATATTTTACCTAGGACTTAACATGTATAGACAGTGTCACAGTGTGGACTGGCCTGTGTGTCATTAATACCCACTGATAATTATAATACAAGTCAATCACTGTGGCTGCTGGATGGAGAAAGGTTAGAGGAGGCAAGAGAAGGAGGCAAATGAGATCTGAGTCATACTTGAGACGACGGAGACTTGAAGCACAATGGGCAAAGAATATAGAGGGAGGGAAAGATGGGTGATGTATCTCAGAGATGCCTTCCTGTAATGAGGTGGAGAGGAAAGGCCCTCAGGTTTCTGGCATCAGCAGATGAACAGTGATGGCATTTACTCCAGTGAAGGAGCTTTGGTGGGACTCATGAAGGAAGATCATGAGCATTCTTTTGAACATGTTAACTAAGAGATGTGGAACATAGAAGAAGGGTCAGGGTTGATGGTGGGTAAGTGTGGGAGTTGTCAGAATGTGATGAGCATTTGAAACCTTGGGAGGAGGATATGGTGAGAAGGGGAGGTGTTGAGGAATAATATCTGGGAGCTTAAGTGTTAAGAGGAGCATCCAGTTGAAAAGGGCAAAGGATGTCTCTTAAGGAGAGAGCCGAGCAAGCATGATAGCACAGGACCCAACGGCAGGGTGTGGCCTCCCCCAAGAGAAGGGCCAACAGTGTCTCCAGAGGTGGAGTTCCCAGGGACTGGCCTGTGAGCCTCCTGCCTAGGGCCACTGGAGGGAAATCTTTGTGAGCATCACACAGAGATAGAGAAATCATAGAAACTTGTGAGAGAGGCAGCAGCAGAGGTTGGAATTGGGATTTAAGGATTTTTTTTAAAACTCTGGTTGTTTAAATGCTTACAAGATATATTTAGTGGGGAAGGAAAAAGGTATAAGTCCTGGCAGAAAAGACTGATAGATTTCTGATGGTGGAAGAAAATGAGACCCTGAGATCTCGGATTCACAGGGATGAACTGGGTGGGCACTTCCCTGCCTCCTTTGCTGCTGGACACAAACAACCACTTTATGCTTTAAATCTCTGTGGAGTTCCCCTTTTTAATTTACTCAGAGGAACTCATGAACAGTAGCAACTGTAATATACTAGGGCTATACAACTTATTTAATAATATACTGGATTCATCTGGTAGGAGATGTGGGGGCGTCTCTTCCTTTCCTAACAATGTGTAAGAAGGTAGAAAATGGGCCTTGTCCTTCAGTCTGCTTTGGAATAGAGAAAGTAAGTCTGTTTCAAATGAACTCCCAGGGTTAAGATATAAAAGCTGGAGAAGCATTTTGTCGTTGTTTTGGAGTAGTAAGTTGCCAGTTCTCATATCCTTTTCCAGTTAGATTTAAAAATGAGTTCTTACCTCTATGGTTAAAATTGTGGTGTAGCTGTACAGGTTGGTGAAAGAATCCTCCATATAGGCCAGAATAAATAGAAAACAGATTTGTTGCATATACTGCAGAAAGAGCAGTTGGTAGGGCAGTGATAGACCCGTGTGTGGTTGGTGGTGGACGACAAGATCTCCATTTTGGAGGGAGCCACTTTGTACGTCATTCCTTGTGTGAAATTAGCCCCTTGCAAATGGGGGAAGTTCTGTGGTCTGGGGCTGCAGATAATTCTGCCTGGGTTGACTTCTCTGCTCTTCACTGATTGGGTACAGGTCTGGGCCATGAAACTGTTGGATGATAAAGATCCAAACCCACGGGACGCGCTCCCCCAGAGATACTCACGGACAGGACTCGCTGCAATTTGCATGAGGTTTATTGAAGAATTGATAGTGGCTGGTGCACCCGGGCCCCTCTGCTCGAAGGCGAGAGAGAACTCCAAATTGGGGTGAAGGGTAGTTTATATACTGAGTTTACAAAGACAGTTAATTGCTTCTTGGACAATATTTAAAAAGATTTCAAACATTCATTCTCAAGCCTAGTTTCCATTCCCAGGCTTGGTTCCTAAGTAACTCAAATTTGCACCTTATCTTTTACAACAAACAGAGAGTCAGCTTAAGTAGCTTCTGTTTACCGAGGTTTTACTGTGCTAAAGGCTCATAAACTCTTATCTTGGGTCTTTCTTCCTCTGGAATATTTGTTCGAGCCTCCAGGATGTACTCTTCCCGGGATGTGCCATGGCAGCCATTAGTATTTGAGTTTAAAACTGAAATTGGAGCTTTTTATTAATTTTAAGTTTCTACAAAACCAGGATGCATGGCTTGAGAAAGGAAGGCAGATAGAGTTAGGGCCCCACATACTTCTCCCTTCCTGTTAAGGGCGGCGATGTGATGGTGATTGACAGCCATTCATCATTACCCAGCTCCCCCTACTCTCTATTGACCCGGCCCTCTTGGGTCAGTAAACAGGGTCTGGAAGAGAGAGAGTAGGGATGAAGGGGCAAGAGACACAAAGAATGGAAACAAGACAGGGTGTCTGATCAGGTCCCATTTATTGAAAGAAAATAGTGGGTATATAAGTACAAGCAGGGAGTGCAGCTGGAGACACTTTACCATGAGTGCCTTGCAGCTGGGGACACTAAACAAGTCTGAGAAGCAATATGTCTGAGAAAAACAAGGTGCTTATCAGAGTGTGCTCAGCTGTTGTGGGCTGTTGAAAAACAAGTCTCTTGTCAGGGTATATGGCCTGAGATGGCTGTTAAGAAGATAGCCGCTTTCTGCTTTTCAGCTCCCAACACTCTATCTGCAGACTACCTCCAAGCTTCTTTGTCCTGAATGTCCCTGCTCTGGGAATTGAAGCTGTGTGAGGTCCAAGGAATGAAAGTCTAAACTTTGAACAATGAGTGTTAGGCCTGTGAATCACCTAAGATTATTAATTCACACAGATATTTCTAGTAAATCCATGGCTGTAGGAAGGCCAATCAGATTTCATCACTGAAAAGAAAATATTCTCATTGCTTCTGTATCTTATGGTCCGCCCTGACTATGGCTGGAGCTGTGGTTAAACTCTCTCAGGAGATCTAAGTTAGCTGTCTTTCTTCCTGTGTACCAACTGTTTAGGACCTAGGCCACGAGTGGGTGTACTGAACCCCCTCCTTCCTGTTCCCATGATGGCAAATTTTCAGAATCAGGCCAGCACTGGAACAGTTCATGGGGCTTTTTTATAATTGTTCCAATGAGATCATTTCCCTTGGAAAACTCGTCTGTAGTAGTTTTCATTGTCTAGGTAGTTCTCGAAGGCTAGCAAATGTGGAGATGTTATCTTCATCAGTGGTGAATATTTACTAAAAGTCTCTGGATATTACATTAAGAATGCATTTTGTTTCTTCAAACCGTGACTTCTTCCGACTTATAAATAGCATTCTGGAGCAGTAGTACTAGCTGGTAACATTTAGAGACAGACATAAGTATTTTTGCTAGAGATTTATATAGATTATTGTGTTCTCATAGAAGAACCTTATAAGTGGGTTCTGTGTTTTCTAAATGTACAGATGAGAAAACTGAGGTTTAGAGAACTAACAACAATGAGCTTCATAAACCAAGAGCTTGGGAGACAGAGGGACAAACACTGAGGCAAAACCACCCTGCTGTGCACAGTGAATTCCAGACCAGCCAGGGTTTCACTGCAGAACTCCAGCAAAACAATGAAAACCTGCCTCAGGGATGCTAAGCCTGGAAAGTCTATTTCAGAGTCAAGAGTCTAAAATGTGAAGCTTTTGAGCTTCAGGCAATTTTATGAGGGATGCTCAACACGAGCAGTTTAAGTATAAGGTCTTCATTTGTCAGCAGCTGACATTAGCCACAGACATTGGAGGGAGGGAATACAGAGCGAGATGGTCCCCTTTGACGTGGGACAGTGCTGTCAGGGTTCCAGCTTTGATGAGTGTAGCTTCACATACGTTATTGACTCTTGTTGCTCATAGGTAAGGTCCATGGTTCACGCTTCAGTGTTGCTTCAAAAACATTGGATGCTTTCTTTAGAGAGGACACAGTTTGGATAGCTGGGGTCCAGAGCTATGCAGGATGCCTTTGGGCGACCTCTGGGTAAGATTGTAGCATGTGCACATTCACCAGACCTTCATGGAGGCAGGAAGTTTCCTAGACTGCGCGGCTCCCAGTGTGTCTGTTCATTTCCCACCCTTCCTTTGTCGCCTGCCACAGTGCACTGCCTCTGACTATGGATGCTAAACGCTGACTTGAAATTCATAACAACTTGATAATATCACCTTGTAAATTTAGGAATAGTCTATGAAGTAAGATCGAAAGGAATAGAAATAGGTGAATAATGGCTCGGGAAATTTAGGATGCAGATTATTTAAATGCTGTCAAATACCTTCTTTTCCCAGGGAGTTTGTGTGTGTGTTACAGCCCAAAGTCTGACTCTCGGAAAGAAATCACGTATTCGGTCTTTTACCTCCATAAAGGTAATGTTCCATGTATCCTCCTTTGCTTTTACATTTTACTTTCTCCAAATAGTAACAAATGAAATTGTAGAGAGCTTAACATTTAGCATTAACTGTATAGATATGTTTTATGAAGAAATTCATTAATGGTAAATAGTAAGATAGGACATTTCTATATGATTTATACCAACCTGTGGCTTGTTCTAGACTGTAGACCATTTCTAATGGACGTATTTACCAAAGTGTATCGGTTTGCCATTTAGTTATTTGTCATTTAGTTATTATTCATTGGAACATTACCTATAGCTTTAATTCACATGGTTACATAGGGGTTTAATTAAAAACCTTCTTTGCTCTCAAATATAAACACACTGTCACTCCATGATATGTTATGTTGTCATACTAAGATATTGATTTCACTTCACGTGTCTGTGGCCTGTGATGCTAATATGCCACATTCTGGGGAGTGGGGTGAGCTGCCAGCCCCTGCATGCCCTGCAATAATTTTAGTCTGAAACATGCTAAGGAGAATTTTTGCATGTTTGTTTAATTCCTCAAAATGTATAATTGTGCCAGGCATAGCGGTATATACCTTTGATTTCAGCACTCAGGAGGCAGAGGCAGGAGGATATATGTGAATTCCAGGCCAGCTTGGTCTACAGGAAAGTTCCTGAACAGCCAGGCCTATATAGAGAGAATGTACCTAAAAAAAACCTTTTTTTAATATTTGTCAAGTATACATTGTGTATGTGGTTGAAACTTTTTTAAAGATGGAGATTCTGTCCCAGGACTCATTTATTTTGTATTTTTTATGCTAAGCCACATAAACGTTTAGAATTTCTCAGTCTGATATTGCTAGGGTGATAGAGACACAGGCAGAAAAGTTTAAGAATTTTTTAATGGAATAACTAACAGTAACTTCAGAACTAGATGCAGACCTATTCTTAAGTAATGTAAGCGTGTGTAAGACTCTTGTATGTGTTTCTACTAGGTAACACCAGGAGTCCGATCAGCCATAGACAGAGTCAGAGGAGAGAGCAAACTCGGACACAGTTGCACAGGAGGCTCACTCCCCTTTCTAGCTAAGGGTGGGAGTGTGAGCTAGAGATATCCTAGACGGTTGGCAAAAACTGTCATGCATAGAAATGAACCCTGTGAACCCCCCAACTTAGATCACTGAGAAGACCCCACTGGACCCTAACCTTCCTACACAGTCCTTCCCTATAGTCTGGCTTTCTGCCTGAGCTGGAACATCTGCTCTTCTGTGACTGCCCTCAGTCACAGTAGATAGTCCACCTTAGTGGCTTTTGGAGAGGGTGGACACCATAAATTCTAGAAGGCAGCAGGCGCTTGCCCTGTCTGTGAGACTGTTACGTCGCATGAGGTCAGTCTGAGCCTTTCTTTTCTGAGTACAACTCTCTCTGGCTTCACGCTCTTCATTCGCAGGATACAGAAAGACCTTCACTGCAGCTCCTCGAAGTGCTGACTCACAGGTCACAAATGGCATCACTTTTCTCAACCTTGGTGGGTATTCTGGTTTGTCCTTTTGTTGCTGTGGCAAACATGGAACCAAAAGTAACTTGGGTGAAAGGCTTTACTTCAGCTAACCCTTCCAGGTATCAGTCAGTTATCACCACTGGAGGTCAAAGACGGGAGCTGAGCTGAGGCAGGAATGCCGCCTGCTTACAAGAGCTTGCTCTGCTCTCTCTCTCTTCTGGATCATGCTCAGCAAGCTTTCTGATGCCTCCTAGGCCTACTTGCCTAGGGGATGCACCTCCCACAGTGAAATGGCCTTGGAGAGCACAGCTCTATTGCTTCCTGGGATGAGGGAGGGAGATAGAACAGCTCCCGGGTCTGTGCCCATCTCAACAGTGATGGAGAGCATGTCCACTAACTGTGCCTTTCCTTTTCTCCTCCTGTGAATAGCATGACTCAGTCCAGAGCTCACACAGTTGTCATCCCTTCTCGAGCATGATTTATTAACAGCTATAAAGCTTTATCCAAGACTGTTCTTGAGAGAATCTTCATGATTACAGTTACTTTTTTGAAAAGTATGTTTTGCTATCCATCGCTTATAGTTTCCATTTATTATTACCCTGCTGAAAAGGACTTGCATTGAGTGAAATACAGTGACTTAAATCTCACATTACTTTTTCTGAGGAAACATAGAAATCCCTATTCATTCCAGATAGGGCAACAGCACACCAAAGAAATTATCCCGTCTTGGTAAACCAGTGCGTTTATTGGGATTTCCGATAGGAACATGAGGGAGCCTCTGCCCTTTCTCCCTGAGGGGTGTTTTGGTGTGGAGGAGGAAATAGTCACACAACAGCATCTACAAACCCTGTGAACCCCCTGACTTAGATCATTGAGAAGACCCCATTGGACCCTAACCTTCCTACACAGTCCTTCCCTGTAGTCTGCATTTCTGCCTGAGCTGGAACATCTGCTCTTCTGTGACTGCCCTCAGTCACAGTAGATAGTCCACCTTAGTGGCTTTTGGAGAGGGAGGACACCATAAATTCTAGAAGGCAGTAGGTCTTCTAGAATAAATTCTGTCAGACATGCCCATGAATAAAAGCCACCATATAGTAAATAATGTATGTTCCATAGTTTACTTCTTTTTGATCCTCACAGCCATTCTGCCTGAGGATGACAGTCCCATCTCCCAAACAATGAAGCTGAGGCTGAAGAAGGTTCCTTTCAGTGTCTCTCTTTAGAGATGCTCTGTCGGTTTCCATCTCTGTGTAACAGATGACCACACAGGCAGGGTTTAAGGCAGCACAAGCATTCTGATCCCAGGCTGGAGTTCAGACATCAGAGGGAAGAGGGGGTGCTGAGAAACTAAACCCAAGAGTAGGCAGGACCGGTTCCTCCTGCAGCATCTGAGGAAGAACTTCCTTCCTGCCTCCTCTGGCCTCTAAGACTAGTCTTATCACTCAGGTTTCTTGTCACTGTGTGGCCACCTTCTGCAGGCCAGTGTCCCTCTCCCTTCCTCTTAGCAACACTTAGTAACCACACGGAGTCTACCAAGATAATCCAGGATTCTCTCCTCATCTCAAGGTCCTAATCACACTTGCAATAGTTTCTCTTCACGAAAAGTTAATTTAGGGCAGGCCAGAGGGCTCCGTGGGTGAGGGCTGTGGATCACAAGCCTGAGCCACATTCAGTCCCAGGTGGAAAACCCCACAAGTTGTTTTCCACATATACCACACACACACGTAAATAATTGTGGTAGGATCTTTTCTAAATTGACAGAGTCACAGGGCTGCAGGTCAGTGCACGAGTAATGGCCTTCACTGACCCTGACACACGTAACTACTGATGTTTTAGATGAAGCCCTAATTTGTTTTATGATACTGTCTTTCACACTGTGGTATAGAAAACCCTAGACTTCACTAAACAAATGTTAGTAGGAATTTCCCACCCTATCCCAATGATGTGTCACCCTACACTACCTTAGTGTATTTTCTAATGTCCTGAAACATAGCACTACCACAACACACTAAATAGTCATACTAGTAGTTAACATATATGATTGGTGTCTTAGTTAAGGTTTTACTGCTGTGAACAGACACCATGGCCAAGGCAACTCTTATAAGGACAACATTTAACTGGGGCTGGCTTACAGGTTCAGAGATTCAGTTCATTATCATCAAGGTGGGGACATGGCAGCATCCAGGCAGGCATAGTATAGGAGGATCTGAGAGTTCTACATCTTCATCTGAAGGCTGCTATTAGAAGACTGACTTCAGGCAGCTAGGATGAGGGTCTTAAGGCCATGCCCACAGTGACACACCTACTCCAACAAGGCCACACCTCCTAATAATATCACTCCCTGGGCCGAGCATATACTGCCACTTTGTCCAGTTTATTCATGTTGAGCTTTCTACCTGTCCATTTCTCATGTAGCAGTTGCCTTATACCAGATCACTGTCATAGTACTGTGTTCATTTATAGTGTTCATGTTCGTAGTCTCATGTTTTACCTAATAATGGCCATGACGTATAGAGATGCCAAAGAGAAGCCATAAAGTGTTTCCTTTAAATGAGAAGTTTAAAAGCTCTTGCCTTAATGAAAAAAGAAGTACTGTCTTTTCAGTGTTGCTAAGGTTTGTTGCTGTCTTGAAATAAATTTCCTAAAGATAAAGGGCAACTAATTCCTCTGCAATCCCAACTAATTCCATCTCAAATGGATACCCATACCTTCTTAGTAGTTTCCTTTAAATAATTTCTTTCATTTGCCGCAGTAGTACTACCACAATGACAAGAGTTTGCAATTCTTTGCATTGCATTCTTTAAAGTTATTTATTCTTGTCTTCTGAAAGGACATGTTGATTGGTTGGAGTTTTATCCTCTCCTTTCCATGAGTGCCTTCTACAGCAGTGATCACTGTGTGCCTCTTAAGGAGAGGAGCCCAGCTAGCTGACTGAAAATGGAAGTTTCTTTTATGGAATTCACTATTCTGTTTTTCTGAGACCCTAGGAGCCTGTTATTATATTTTGTCTCAATTTGGGTGTATATGTTCTGAATATGCATAGTGTAGAAACTGTGAAGGTGCCAACTCTAGGTGCTAGGAACACAAGAAAACCACTGACAACTGCAACAATGTCGAGGCCCCCAGAGACATGCTCTTGATAAATACCAGTCTTAAAATTTCCTAAACAAAATGATGATGATGATGATGATGATGATGATGATGAGTGGGCCCACATGGGAAATGCATTTCATAGCTTCCTCAAGCCATTGAAAAGATGAAGAAAATTCCCATTACGTGCTATCCCTAGCTTATCACACTGAGGAGTCATTCCTATTGCTCGATAGTTTTATTCTAATTTCCTTCTGGATCACTTAGATTCATATAAAGCTACTGATGACTCAGAAACAAAACTATAGGTATAAACAAGACAGCCATGTCTTAAGTGTACAAAGAGTGTGAGGTACACACAGAGCCAATCAGATCTGGATTCTACGGTGAAGATATTCCCATGGGCCTCACCATGTGCTACTGGTAACAAGCAAACAAATATACTGTGTTATCATATTCAAAGAAAAGCATGTTGTCCTGGGGTTTCTCTGCACCGGGATAGATTGTATCACAGGTGGATGGTGGATGACTCCAGTCTCTCTTTACTACAGGCTACTTTGTGGCTGTTTACTCCCCTGGCCATTTCCTTCATTTTCTTAATATTCAGCATCCAGACTTGATCTGCCACAGTCTGTTTCTGACAGGTAAGGTTGTAGCTTCTGTCTCCGCGCCCATAGGCTTGCTCTGACTTGAGTAACTGTCTAGGCCCAATCTTTTATTTGGTGATCTGCTTTTTTGTTTTTTTCTGTTTGCTAGGAAACAACAAAATGGCTGCTGTGCTACCTTCAAGTCCTTTGCAGTCCCTGCCAGGGTCCCTGATTCTGGACTGCTATTCTGGAAAGGTCTACAGAGCAACTCTTGATCAGTCATACTTGATGAGGTTCCTATGGAATGCCCGTCTAGACTGTGAGAAAATGGCCGCACTGCACTGTGTGCTGTCCTGTGGTCGAGACCCAGGTTTCCCAGAAGAACAGGTGAGATAATTGCTCGCTTGAGCTTAAAAACTGGCAACAGACACAAAGTATACTTACTTCGTGCTTCAAGACAAGCAGAAGTTAGGTTTTGCTCGATAACAGTCTCTTTGTTGAGCATAGTCTTCCTCGTTGGTTGGCTCTGTGCTGGACCTCAGGCTGTGAAGGTGCGTGCATCTATCTGTCTTTTGAGTTCAGTTGTTCTCTGTGCCTATCAATTCAGGTAACTTAGATCAGCTCTGGCTTAATACTACCAAATGGAGAAGCCCCCAAAGAAGCAATTCATAACATTTAAGTGGCATGCTCTGCTAAGTCATGTGATGACATCTTGTGCCATCCTGCTCCACCTGGCCTGGATTATGAACTGTCACTTTTTCCAGGGTATTCATGTTGAATTTTCAACCTGTCCGTTTCTCATGTAGCAGTTGCCTTGTACCAGATCACTGTCATAGTACTGTGTTTATATATAGTGCTTGTGTTTGTAGACTCATGTTTTACCTAATAATGGCCAAGACATTTAGAGATGCCAAAGAGAAGCCATAAAGTGTTTCCTTTAAATGAGAAGTTGAAAGTTCTTGACTTAATGGGAAAAGAAATACTGTCTTGTCAATGTTGCTAAGGTTTGTACTGTTTTGAAATGTATCTCCTAAAGATAAAGAGCAACTAATTCCTCTGCTCTCTCTTCCTTTCTCTATTTTTCTGAGATGAGGTTTTTCTCTGTTGCCCAGGCAGGTCTGGTACTTACTCTGTGGTTCACACTGGCCTTACAGTTGAAGCACTTCTCATCAGACTCCCCAAGTGCTGAGATTTCAGGTGTGAGCCCCAAAACTCAGTACTCTATTGGCTTCTTAGTGATGTGAACTAGTGTTCCAAGGACACACTAAGAAAATAATGAGTTTCTCAGATGACCTGCTCCCCTCCCTGTTTGTATCTGGTATAATGCATTACCAAAAGAGCCAAATAGGCCAGGTATAATGCCTCCGACCTGCAATCCCAAATGCTGAGGCAGAAGATTTCTATGATTTCAAGGCCAGCCTAGGCTACACCGTAAGTTTGATGATATCTTGGATTGTAGATATTCCTTTCCCAACATTCTCAGAAGAAACAAACACACCAAAGATATAAGACTTTGTGGCAAATATTTATTACATTTTTAATAAGATAGCTTACTTTATATTGCACACCGTCATTTGTAAAGCACAATTTTGTCATTTACTTTCTGAAGCTATTCTAAAAGTTCAGGAAAATCCTCTTATCAATCAGTGATGACTGAGGTTAGTGGTTGGCTAGTTAGCTGAAAAAAGTACACTTAAAAGAACATAAAACTTAAAAAATATACATTTATTTATTTACCTTTTGTGTAATATTCTTTGTGAATAAGCTAATTAAACTTCAGCTATTTTTCTTCCATAAAACCAATACTCTATGATTTCCTGTCCTTCTGGAAAGGTTTGTGTATGTGGATACATAGTCATATGTGTCTTCACAGGTGTACACGCATGTGTGTTCATGCACATCTATGTGTATGTGTGCTGAAGGCCGGAAGTAATATTGGGTGTCTTCAGGCATTCTCCACATTAATTTTTGAGACAGGGTCTCTCTAAACCTGGAGCTTTGCTTCTCTGCTAGGCTGGCTAGCCAGTGTCTCTTGCCTCCGTCCAGCATTGGGGTTATAGGCATGTGCTGCACCCCCATTTTTATGTGGGTTCTAGGGATCAGGTCCTCATGCTTGCATGGAAGTCACCTCCCCACTGGGCCATCTCCTTGGCCTCTAAACATTTGACTTCTAAGGAGATCAATAATGAAGACAACAGTATAACTTGTTTTTACCCACTTTCTCTAGTTGTTTCTTCTACATCTAGTCATTTAGTGTCTCAGAATCCAACTCTAGTCTTGTCATGTCATAGAAACATGATTTTTGACTCTTGCCACAATATGCAACTTTTACTGATGCAATCTGCATTGAACTTGTTTGTAGACATTTTGGTTAAACTGCCTGTGTAAAAATAAGTACAACTGGCACAGTGGATTTAGAATAAAGCATCCTGTCGAGAGTGAGCTATGGTTGGGCATGTCTTCCCTCAGTCATCAAGTAAAAGATGAGAACGTCTTTCTTCCAGCAGTTGAATGGAGGGATAGAAATTGTGTGAGAAGTTGCTGATGTAACAGGTGATTTCTGTTTGTTGAAAGGGAAGGACAGAGGTCCTCCTCATGGTAAGTGGTGTGACGGTGTTCACTCACAGTGATGGCTGCACTGGATTTTAACCCAAGGCTGGTGTCTGTAAGCCCCGTGGTTCTGTTGTGTATTACTCTTATGTCTGGTAGATTTCTTGATGGGTACTTTGCATAACACCATGCATTCTTGAAAAAAATGCATATTAGGTTGAAAAAGATTCTTCTGGAGCCTACCCAAAGGGTTCTGTTAAAAGGATATCTACAAATAATCTTACTTACAATACTGTCAGGACTATATTGGTTTTTAAGCTGGAAGTAGGTATACTTTCAGGGTACTCCAAAATAGATGTCGAATTTTAAAACTTCGTTCATTATATATTATAGCTTTATACATATATTATGTATTATATATTACATATTTTGTACTACTTTGGAGGGATGCAGTACAGATTTAAAAGACAACAGAGTTCTGTGGCCTTCCTTTTTAAAGGTTATTCAGTGGATTTCTGAGCGTGTTTCTGCCTGCCATTCATTTGACCTCATTCAAGAATTTCTAATTGGTAAGTGTTCCTGGTGCTGTGCTGTGAGCTGTGTGTTCAACCTTTCACTTGAGAGAAATCAGTAGGGTGATAATGAATGCTTCTGTCAAAATGCTGTTTAGGAGGTTTTTGGTTTTGTTTTGTTTTTTAACTTCATTGCAATCACTGGCTAATGAAATCTCATTCTCTTGTGGATTTTGCAAGAAGCTGTGGTTTCCAGAAATCAATAAGATAATGATCAGATTTTGATTCTATAACCTTATTAACAAAAATTTCAGTAAAATGGATCTTTCTAAGCTCAGGTTTATGTTGGTGGGCATCATGTCATAGTACCAAGCAGTACAAAATGATTTTTAAAAAATTACTATTCTCATTGTAAAGGGAGCACCTGAACATTTTTTATTCACTATTTTATTTATTTACATTTCAGATGTCATCCCCCTTCCCCATCCCTCTCCCCACTAATCCACTATCCCATCCCTCCTCCTCCTTTTTTGCCTTTATACTGTTTAAATTACATGCAAGTATTAAGGTCAGTTCTAGGTTGAGGAACTAGCAATACAATAGATGCAAATAGTCAAGGAACAAGCAAGACAATAAATACAGATAGTCAAAGAACACACATGACAATAAACAGAGTCCCTGTGATTACTCTTGTGATCACTATTTCTAAGGGCTTATCAGGATGATCAAAATATCTGAGCCTACTTCCCTGTCCTAGCCCAAAGTCATATTCATACCTGAAGCCTACTTCTTTGTTCTAGCTTAAGATTTAGATTTCAGCCTATAATTACTTCTTTGTTCTAGCCTAGGACTTAGATTTCTGCCTGAAATTACTTCTTTGTTCCAGCCTAATGTCAGATTCCTGCCTGAAGTACATTTCCTTGTCCTTGGCCTATGTCAGATTCCTTCCAAGCAGCCCATTTCATTGTCCTTGGCCAATGTCAGATTCTGCCAGGCAGCCACAAAAGCTCTCCACATCTCCTCCTTTTTATTGCATAAACAAGACTGAGCCTGATTTAGCTCATTCTGACAAGAAAGCCTTCCTTACCCATCATGGAATATGCTTTATCATAAGAAATGCACTTCTGTCTTAGGTTGGTAAGGCTCTGTGCAGAATCTTACCCATCCTTGGCTTGCCAGCCTGTTAAATTGATAACTCTGTCTGAGAGTCCATTGTCAGTTTCAAGTCATGTACTTTGGCTGCCAGCCTGTTGATGTAGTTAGAGACAGGCTTTAACACGATGGGCAGGAATAAAAGTATTCCCAGGACAAGAAGGGCTAGCCTGATCAAGCTATATATGCCATTCCTGAGGTTTGATCAAAATGGAAATACTAATCTCAGGCCATGGATAATTTTATTGGCATTATCTGCAGCATCAAAGCTCAACAGAGCAGCATTCTTTAAATTCATAATCTCATTATGCAAAGTTAAAACAACCAGAGAGGTGTTAGGATTATGCCAAATACCCTACAAGTGTCTTTAAATTTTTCTACTTATAATGACAATCATTGTAAATTTTAGAAGAAACACTACTCCAGTGATATTTGTCATGACACTTGAGATGGCTCCTAACTCTTGAACCCTGGACCTCTTTCAGATAATTTGAATAGGTTACAGAGCATCAATTCATTGTTCCAGACACCTATATCAATCATTTTGTATACTCAATACATTAGTAACATTTTTTTTTGCTAGATACTTAACAAAAATAGCTGTCTTAACTCCTTGTGTCAATGCTATTTCAGAAGCAGTGGTGCTAGCAATTAATGAAATTAAAGTGTTATACCAGCAATAATCAAGCACGCTACCCTCTTGCTTGTGCTTAAAGCATAACTCACTTCTTCCAGCACGTTCAAGCTTTTTTTCAGAGAATCAAGGTTTTCTAATACTCAGGGCAGTAAGACAAAAGCTGATTGATAGACCCCCATAACAGACATGCCAGGTTTTATCACACTAACACAATTAGAAATTATACAGCCAATGCAACTTACAATAAATACTGTAGAAAAGACAAAACCAATTTTAGCTTGACAATTAAAAGAGCCTTAAAGCATGCACTAACCCTTATTTGAAATCCAGATCCTGTCCCAACTTTATCTCTTGCTATCATAATATCATAGAGAACTGCAGCTAACTTCTGAAAATGTTCAGATCCAGCCTTCCAAATATAGACTGTTATTTCCAATATTAGATTGAGTCCTAATAGATGGTCACCTTTAAGAAAAATACAAGAGACGTTATAATTTCTCTTTTTGATTCTCTGTCCCACAAGTTCTAAAAACTTGAGGCAAGGCAGCTTGTCCCATCTGGGATATAGGCAAGCAAAGGTGGGTCAGGAACATATGCCCAATACAGATTCCCAGTCACCCTTGTCAGGGCACTCAGCAAGCTCACAGGTCAGCATCATTCTTTGTCTCAGCAACAGCACGTTTCACCAATCATTCTGGCAGCCACCATGTTCCAGTAGCATCCTGCAGAAAAAACACAAACATGCCCTCTTCCCCACATTAGATGTGTGGTCGGGATCAGGCCATATGCCTCTAAGTGGATCCTTCCTTTTCACCTAGGCATAAATATGCCTAGTTGAAGGGTTCCATAGATACTCAGCAGAAGGTTCCTTGGCATCTAATTTTTTTTAATTTAAAATAAAAATGGTATGATTTAAATAAATTTGTGATGTTCAGGTATATACCTTCCCCTTTTTGATTTTATGAAGATATTGTTTTAAAGTTCCATGGGCCCCTTGCACAATACCTTGTCCTTGAGGATTATAAAGAATCCCCATAATAAATTGTTGACAAAAAGTCTCAACTGCTCTGCTCGACTACAATTGACAGATCCATTATCTGTTTTTTATTGGATGTTTTATTTATTTACCTTTCAAACGTTACCCCTCTCCCATTTCCCCCACAAAACTCCTTATCCCATCCCCCCTTCTCCTACTTCTATGAGGGTATGCCCCAACCCATCCACCCATTCCTGCCTCCCTGCTCTCAAATTTCCCAACACTAGGACATCTAAACATTCAGGAACCAAAGCCCTCCTCTTCCACTGATGCCTGACAAGGTCATCCTCAACTACCTATAGAGGTTGAGCCCTGAATCCCTCCCTTTGTGTTCCCAGGCTGGAGATTTAGACCCTGGAAGCTCTGATTGAGTACTTTGTTACTCCTTCTAAGAAGGACCAAAGCACCTACACTTGTTCTTTCTTCTTATTGAGCTTCATGTGGTCTATGCATTGTATCTTAGGTATTTTGAACTTTTGGGCTAGTATCCACTTATCAGTGTGTGCAAACCACGTGTGTTATTTTGTGATTGGGTGGTGATATTCACTCAGGATGATATTTTCCAGTTCCATCCATTTGCCTAAGAATTTCCTGAACTCATTGTTTTTAATAGCTGAGTAATACTCCATTGTGTAAATGTACCACATTTTCTGTATCCATTCCTCTGTTGAAGGACATTTGGGATCTTTCCAGCTTCTGGCTATTATAAATAAGGCTGCTATGAACATAGTGGAACATGTGTCCATGTTGTATGTTGGTGCATCTTTTGGGTATATACCCAGGAATGGTATAGCTGGGTCCTCAAGTAATACTATGTTCAATTTTCTGAGGAACCGTCAGACTGATTTCCAGAGTGGTTGTACCAGCTTACAATCCCACCAACAATGGAGGAGTGTACTACTTTCTCCACATCCTCGCCAAGATCTGCTATCACCTGAGTTTTTTATCTTAGCCATTCTGACTGGTGTGAGATGGAACCTCAGGATTGTTTTGATTTGCATTTCCCTGATGACTAAGGATGTTGAACATTTCTTTAGGTGCTTCTCTGCCATTCACATTTCCTGAGTCGAGAATTCTTTCTTTAGCTCTGTACCCCATTTTTTAATCAGATTATTTGATTGTCTAGAGTCTAATTTCTTCTATTCTTTTTATATTTTGGATATAAGCCTTCTATCAGATGTAGGATTGGTAAAGATCTTTTCCTAATCTGTTAGCTTCTGCTTTGTCCTATTGATGGTATCCTTTGCTTTACAGAAGCTTTACAGTTTTATGAGGTCCTATTTATCAATTCTTGATCTTAGAGTATAAGCCATTGGTGTTCTGTTCAGGAACTTTTCCCCTACGCCCATGTATTAGAGGCTTTTCCGAATTTTCTCTTCTTATTAGTTTCAGTGTATCTGGTTTTATGTGGAAGTCCTTGATGCAGTTGGATTTAAGCTTTGAACAAGGACATAAGTGTGGATCGATTTTCATTCTTCTACACGCTGACCTCCAGTTGGACCAGCACCATTTGTTGAAAATGCTCTCTTTTTCCACTTGATGATTTTAGATCCTTTGTTAAAGATCAAGTTACAATAGGTATAGGGGTTCATTTCTGGGTATTCTATTCTATTCTATTCTATTCTATTCTATTCTATTCTATTCTATTCTATTCTATTCTATTCTATTCTATTCTATTCTATTGATTTTCCTGCCTGTCTCTGTACCAATTCCATGCAGTTTTTATAACTACTACTCTGTAGTACAGCTTGAGATCAGTGATGGTGATTCCCTCCAGAAGATCTTTTATTGTTGAAAATAGTTTTCAATATCCTGGGTTTTTTGTTATTCCAAATGAATTTGAGAATTGCTCTTTCTATCTGTGTGAAGAATTGAGTGGGAATTTTGATGAGGATTGCATTAGATCTGTAGATTGCTCTCCACAAGATACCTATTTTTACTATATTAATTCTTCTAATCCATGAGCATGGGAGATCTTTCCATCTTCTGAGAACTGCTTCAATTTCTTTCTTCAGGGAAATTGAAGTTCTTGTCACACAGATCTTTTACTTGCTTGGTTAGATTCACACCAAGGTATTTTATATTATTCGTGACTATTGTGAAGGGTCTCATTTTCTTAATTTCTTTCTCAACCTGTTTATCTTTTGAGTAGAGGAAGGCTACTGATTTGTTTGAGTTAATTTTATATCCAGCCACTTTGCTAAAGTTGTTTTTAAGGTTTAGGGGTCCTCTAGTGGAAGTTTTAGGATCACTTAAGTACACTATCATATCATTTGCAAATAGTGATATTTTGACTTCTTCCTTTCCAATTTGTATCCCTTTGACCTCCTTTTGTTGCCTAATTGCTCTGGCTAGGACTTCCAGTACTATATTGGTAGGGAGAGAGTGGGCAACCTTGTTTAGTCACTGGTTTTAGTGGGATTGCTTCAAGTTTCTCTCCATTTAGTTTGATGTTAACTACTGGTTTGCTTTTACTATGTTTAGGTATGGGCCTTGGATTCCTAATCTTTCCAAGACTTTTACCCTGAAGAGGTGTTGAATTTTGTCAAATGCTTTTCCAGCATCTAGTGATATGATCGTGTGGGTTTTTTTTTCCTTTGACCTTGTTTATATAGTGGATTACATTGATGGATTTCCATATGTTGAACCAACCTTGCGTTCCTGGGATAAATCCTACTTGATCATGATGGATGATTGTTTTGATGTGTCCTTGGATTGGTTTGCTAGAATTTTATTGAGTATTTTTGCATTGATATTCATAAGGGAGATTGGTCTGAAGTTCTCTTTCTTTGTTCTTTTTTTATGTGGTTTAGGTATGAGCATAATAGTGACTTCATAGAATGAAATGGGTAGTTTTCATTCTTTTTTTATTTTGTGGAATAGTTTATAGAGAATTGGTATTAGGTCTTCGTTAAAGGTCTGATAGAACTCTGCACTAAAACCTTCTGGTCCCGGATTTTTTTTAGTGGGGAGACTTTTAATGACTGCTTCTATTTCTTTTGGGGTTATTGGACTGTTTTGATGGTTTATCTGGGCCTGATTTAACTTTGGTAACTGATATTTGTCTAGAAAATTGTCCATTTCATTCAGATTTTCCAATTTTGTTGAGTATAGGCTTTTGTAGTAGGATCTGATGATTTTTATAAATTCTTGGTTTCTATTGTATGTCACCCTTTTCAGTTCTTTATTAATTTGGATACTGTCTCTCTGCCCTCTGATTAGACTGGCTAAGGATTTATCTATCTTGTTGATTTTCTCAAAGAACCAGCTCCTGGTTTTATTGATCCTTTGTATAGTTCTTTTTGTTTCTACTTGGTTGATTTCAGCCCTGAGTTTGATTATTTCCTGCTGTCTACGTCTCTTTAATGTGTTTCCTTCTTTTTGTTCTAGAGCTTTCAGGTATATTGTCAAACTGTTAGTGTATGCTCTCTCCAGTTTCTTTTTGTAGGTACTTAGAGCTATGAGTTTTCCACTTAGCACAGTTATCATTGTGTCCCATAAGTTTTGGTATGATGTGTCTTCATTTTCATTAAATTCTAAAAAGTCTTTAGTTTCTTTCTTTATTTCTTCCTTGACAACATTATCATTGAGTATTGTTCAGTTTCCACATGAATGTGGACTTTCCATTGTTTTTGTCATTATTGAAGACCATCCTTAGTCCATGGTGATCTGGTAGGATGCATGAGATTATTTCAATATTTTTGTATCTTTTGAGGCCTGTTTTGTGACCAGTTATAAAGTCTATTTTGTAGAAGGTACCATGAGGTGCTGAGAAAAGGGTATATTCTTTTGTTTTAGGATGAAGTGTTTTATAGATATCTGTTAAGTCCATTTGGTTCATAATTTCTGTTAATTTCACTGTATCTCTGTTTAGTTTCTGTTTCCATGATCTGTCCATTGCTGAGAGTGTGGTGTTCAAGCCTCCCATTATTATTGTGTTATTCTTGTGTGAGGTGCAATGTGTGCTTTGAGCTTCGGTAAGATTTCTTTTATGAAAATGAGTGCTCTTGCATTTTGTGCATAGATGTGAAGAATTGCAAGTTCATCTTGATTGACTTTTCCTTTCATGAGTATGAAATGTCCTTCCTTATTCTTTTTGGGAGCTTTCAGGTGAAAGTCGATTTTATTCGATGTTAGAATGGCTACTGTGTTTTCCAGCCTTTTACTCTAAGGTAGTGTCTGTCTTTGTCACTGAGGTGTGTTTCCTGTATGTAGCAAAATACTGGGTCCTGTTTATGTATCCTGTCCATTAGTCTATCTCTTTTTATTGGAGTACTGAGCCCATTGATGTTAAGAGATATTAAGGAAAGTAGATTGTTGCTTCCTGTTATTTTTGTTATTAGCGGTGGCATTATGTTTGTGTGGCTATCTTCTTTTGGATTTGTTGGAAGAAGATTACTCTCTTGCTTCTTCTAGGATATAATTGCCCTCCTTGTATTGGAGTTTTCCCTCTTTTATCCTTTGTAATGCTGGGTGTGTCAGAAGATATTGTGTAAATTTGATTTTGTCATAGAATAATGTGGTTTCTTCATCTATGGTAATTGAGAGTTTTGCTGGGTATAGTAGCCTTGGCTGGCATTTGTGTTCTCTTAGGCTCTGTATGACATCTGTCCAGGATCTTCTGGCTTTTACAGTATCTAGTGAGAAGTCTGGTGTAATTCTGATAGGTCTGCCTTTATATGTTACTTTACCTTTTTCCCTTACTGCTTTTAATAGTTTTTCTTCATTCCGTGCATTTGGTGTTTGATTATTATGTGACAGGAGGTATTTCTTTTCTGGTCTAGTCTATTTGGAGTTCTATAGGCTTCTTGAATGGTTATGGGCATCTTGTTCTTTAGGTTAAGGAAGTTTTCTTCTGTAATTTTGTTGAAGATATTTACTGGCCCGTTAAGTTGGGAAGCTTCACTCTCTTCTATACCTATTATTCTTAGGTTTGGTCTTCTCATTGTGTCCTGGATTTTCTGGATGTTTTGGGTTAGAAACTTTGCACTTTGCATTTTCTTTGACAGTTTTGACAATATTTTCTATGACATCTTCTGCAATTGAGATTCTCTCTTCTAGCTCTTGTATTCTGTTGGTGATGCTTGCTTCTATGACTCCTGATTTCTTTCCTAGGTTTTCTATCTCCAGGGTAGTCTCCTTTTGTGATTTCTTTATTGTTTCTATTCCCATTTTTATGTCTTGGATGATTTTGTTCAATTCCTTCACCTTTTTGGTTGTGTTCTCTTGTAATTCTTTAAGGGATTTTTGTGTTTCCTTTTTAAGGGCTTCTACCTGTTTACCTGTGTTCTCCTCAATTTCTTTGAGAGTGTTATTTATGTCCTTCTTAAAGTCCTCTGTCATCATCATTAGAAGTGACTTTAAATCTGGATCTTGCTTTCCTGGTGATATGGGGTATTCAGGACTTTCTAGTGTGGGAGAACTAGGTTCTAATGATGCCAAGTACCCTGGGTTGCTGATGCAAATGTTCTTGTGCTTGCCTTTCACCATGTGGTTATCTTTAGTGCTATCTGCACTGTCTCTGACTGTCTTTCCTATTATCTTGGTTGTGTCAGAACTGCTTGGGGTGGGTGTTGCTGCTGGAGTTAGAGCTGAAGCCCAAGATCTGCTCAGTGCTTGGGCACAGACTGGAAGGAACCAGTGCCCCTGGCCAGGTGTGAATTCCTGGGTCCCAGAGGGTCCCAGTTACTTCTTGTTTGGGGTGGGTGTTGCTGTCTCCTTACCTAAGATACTGCCCGGGTTAGAACTCCTGGGAGCCCTGCCTCCTCTGGGTTTTGTGGGATTGGGTACAGAGCTGTAGCCCAAGATTTGTTCAGTGCACCTGAACATTTTAAGCTGGAGATAAAATCATAATGGCTAACCTCAGGAGACATGAATGAGTGGCGAGGGCTTATTGTTTTACTGGATTTGGTTAAATTACCATGCTGACTTCTCTGTTTCTGTTATGTCTCATTTTATAATCTGCTCAGCTTCTTCCTATTGGAGTGTGTATGCAGAGCTGGATGACGTGGACATGCTCTTACCTTACTCCTCTGTGCTGACTTGGAATGCAGTAAGTAACAAAGTCATGGTTTGCTCACCACTGTGAGTCAGGGGAGACCATTCCTGTTATGGTAACCAGTGTTGTGATTTCACTCTGTTTTGACTGACAAGGAGCCAAATTGAGATTTCTTGTCAGACAGTATAAACAACCCTAATCAGAAAATTCAAAATCTAAATGCTGCAAAATCTGCAACATTTTAAAGGTTAATATGATGCCAAATATGGAAAATGTATCCTATGTGGTAAATTCAATATACATACATGCATACATATGCATATACACATATATATTATATACATATTCTAAAATACATATGCAAAAGAAGTATTGTATCAATAAAAGTTTGATGCTTTGGGAAGACTCAAAGACATGTTTCTAAAGTTTGTTTGTGTTGTGAAAGATAAATAAATTTCATGTGTAGATTTTTGTTTCCTCACTAAAAGACCTCATGTCTATGAAGGATTTCGAAACCTAAAATATTTTAAAAGCCAAATCTGAATCACTTCTGCTGGTAAGCACCTTGGTCAAGGATGCTTAGCCTACAGTGAGCATTAGCCAGAAGTATTTACATAAAGCAATAGGCATGATGGGCAGACACAGGGTGACTGTCTCTCTTTCTTCTGGCAGGCAGAACAGAACCTCAGTGATGGCATCCTATAAGACATTTTTATTCCTGTGTTGACCAGATTCAAGTATTTAATGGGTTTTATGAATGAGGAATGGCTAGACCACTGTGATGATTCTTGGTAGAGTTTGACTTTTAGGATACCTTTTCCTGTTTTTATAAAGATTTATAAAGAAAATTAGGCAACTCAAAAGCTTCAGGGAGAATCAAAGACATGCTTCCTGTTGGTCTAGACACCTTTACGGTAGGCAGTGATACACCAGGATGCTGGTCCATATGAGGCGGCCCGCAGCACCTGCCTCTTCCCCTTTCAGTTAGATGGTGGAGCAGTGTGCTTGATCTTGAAGTAGGAGTTGTATTACAAAGGTATTTATAGCAGTATTTAAGCAAAATTTAGGCAACAGGCATTGGGAAATATGTACTAGATAAATCATGACACTTCTCACTTTGTGTTTTGCCTCTGTCTCAACACAGTCAGTAGAGGCGTGTAAAGAGCATGCATGTAATTCAACACTCAGGAGGCCTAAGCTGGAAGATCCTCAGTTGGAGATTAGCCTGAGCTACATAGTAGTGAGACACTGTCTAAAGAAAAGAAAGAAAGAGGCAAATGTGTTTGATTTACTTAATATTTTTTGTTTTCTTTTGTTGTTGTTGTTTTGAGACATGGGCTTATATAACCCAGCCTGGTCTGCCTCAGTTCCCTGTGTAGCTGATTTCTTTAAGCCCCTGATCTGATCCTCTCAAATGCCCCTCCCTCCCAAGTGCTAGGATAGCAGGCATGCACCACCATACACAGTTATGTTTGATTAATTTATAAAGTTTTGTTACTTACAATAGTAGTGTTTTCCTGAAGGACTTTTCTGATTGTTTTCTGGGTTATAATTATTAGATTTCTTTGCTTTGGTGTAAAATTGCAAGGGAAAAGACAGGGCTTCTCCTTTTCCTAGGCACACACTTTGTTTTTTCTTTCAAACAACTTACAAATGTATAACCAGAGTGTGGTTATGTGGAAGGAAGTCTGCAGGTTACACCATTGGGTCAGGAAACACACACCTCAGCTCCCTCTGTGTGTTACCCACTGCTCTTCGGTCCTATGACTGAGGTGTGGAGAGGTAGGATTGGGAGCAGTGGTCCCTGGGCTGTGTTCTTACCTGGATGCTGTGTGAGGCCACCATCCCAATGGGCAGGGATTCATTTGTTCATTTCTCAAGGCTCTCTGAGGCTCAGGAGACCTTGTGAACATACACATATGACACCAGGAAGTCCCACAAGAAAATGTAGAGAAACCCATAATTATAACCTCGGTATGTTAGACTTATCTTGGGGTTTACCCGAGTGGTTTTACAATTTCTTGTGGTTGCGATAGGTTCCTAGAAAAGGCCTCCTCTAATCCAATGCTCTGTGTTCTCATATTCATCTTTAGTAATGATGCAAATATTACCCTTCCCTCGTCAACAGTCATTCCTAATGCTACCTACACAGGAAGTAGCAAGTTCACATATCCAGATGGAAAGATTGACTTGGATTTTTTCTTTTAATTTGAGATAGAGAATTCACCATTTAGCTCAGAGTAGCCTAGAAGCCTCTCACTTGAATCACAGATGTCTAGCACTACACTTACCACCAGTTGGATTTTTAAAATAAACTCTATTATAAAAAACAAAACAACTACAACAATAGACAAACACCAAAACACCCAAGGATGGAATTTAATTGTACTCAGAGTCTATACATTTCAATGGCCTTCTATACAGTTAAGTAAAATACTAGAAACTATTCTTGCGCATAGCTAATTCTAAATTGTGCATTGTAATTATAGTTGTTTTCAAATGTTACTATTGTACCTTTGAAAATGCTATTTAGAACTTACAAAAGTTACTCTTTTTGTTGCTATAAAAAAAATAAAATAACACAAGAAGCAGTTTAAGAGAGGAGAGGTATTTTTCTCACAGTTTTTTGGATATAGTCCTACGAGGCGGAGAAAGCATAGTGGCATGGCGGCAGCTGGCCATACTGCACCACAGCCCAAAGTTAGGAGCTATAAATGCTCCACCCCCATTGGATTAAAGCTCTCTGCAGTCCCATACCCACAAGGAAAGGTGATGCTTGTATGTAGGGCTGGTCTTCCCACCTCAATCCACCTAATGAGTTATGGCTCACAGACATGTCAGAGATGTTCTAGACACTGCCAAGATGAGAATAAATATTAACATCACAGAACGTGGGATCCCACAGCTGCTCTGAGGTGCCTGTCGCTGAGCATCGGTGAGAGAAGCACATGGAGAGCCTTACCTACAGAAACTCAGTAGCACTGATCTTCTACAGTTTACTGCTTCACCACAGGTGACTTCCTCCTGTAGGAATAGTGTGTAGGTGACATTCAGCAGTCCATGTGCCCGCCAATCAGATATCTTTACAAAGCACTCTTAAATTGCTGTCTAGTGCCATCTATATTTTGAAGGAAATCTGAATTGACTGGCAGAAAGGCAAACTACATAGTTAACATACAGACATTTTTTTCATAGTATCCATGGGGTGAGGGCAAGTTGGGAAGTTTATCCTTTTAAATTTGGCCCCTGCCCCTTTAAGAGGTGGGGTTTCATACAGCCAAGGCTGGGCTCAGACTTACTAGAACACTGAGGATGGCCTTGAACTCATGATCCTCCTGCCTCTATCTCTCTTGCCTGGAATTAGACATTCAACTACTCCTGGCTCACCAGTCTTGTCCTACTGGTCACTAGGTAACAAGATGCCAGGGGTGAGGTTAACTGGCATGAACTGCACATTTTAGCACTGGACTGTGCACACACTCTTTACGAGGCCCTGAGATCTAGGTGGACCACAGTTCGTGAGAACCCCATTCATTTTTTTTCCTTCTAGAGAGGACAGGACTAGCTCGTGCTACAACTAGTGAAAGAAGGCAAGGGCAGAAAAGGAAGGCAAAAAGATATCAGGATGCTTTTGCTTAATTATGACTTTAATAGTTCCAATATAATTTCCCTCATTTGTTTTTAAGTAGAAATGTCTAAAAATACAGTATTTGTTCTGTATTTTCTCACAATAATTGTTCCCCTCTCTTTAGAGAACAAGTCAGCTATTATTTAAAGAATACTTAAAAAAAGAAAAAAGAAAAAGAAAAAAGTGGGGTGGTTGGGTTCACCTTTAATCTCAGGACTGGGGAGGCAGAGGCAGACAGATCTCTGTAAATTCAAGGCCAGTCTGGTCTACAGAGTGATTTCCAGGACACAGCCAGTGCTATACAGAGAAACCCTCTCAATCAAAACAAAACAAAACAAAAACCCAAAATAAAACAAAAATCCCAACCTCAACCCCCACAAAAGAACAAAAAACAAACAAACAAACAAACAAAAAGCCAAAACAAAGCCAAAAAAGGAATATTTCATTTTCCAAGGCAAGAGGCATACTGCCCTATTATTTTTGTACTGGGAAGTTATTTAAAGTAGAAGTTATCACACAGGAAGCTGGCTGTCCTCGGCTCTTGTCTATACAGAAGACACTTCCTGAAGGCCTGAGCATGGGTGGTTGATATGCTGTATTCATGTTTCCCTTCCATAGGAAATTCCTGGAATCAAGCTTGTGACAGAGGAGCTCCCATTGCCACTAATGATGGTAAGTCCTGCCCTGAGAGGTTGAAGCAGTCATGTTGAGAAGACCTCTGCTGCCCCTATATTACTGTGGTTTCAAAAGGTATTGCAGCCTGGTAGAGAAAGGTGGTGCCTTGGAGCAGTTTGGCATGCCTGAGAGTCCTTCCGAAGAGCCTGCATAATCAGTCGCTGATATAAGTTAGCCTTAGGACTGTTTGAAGAGGGAGGTTTTCTGAAGATAGAGAATTACAGAGCCCAACTTGAACCAAGGATGGCCCACCAATACTTGCTACAAAGCCTCTTACCGAAGGAGCTTTGGAACACGTCTTTAGGAGGCTGGAATCCGTTGTCCCTGATTTATAGTACTTCCTTCAAACACACACACATACACACGCGCACACACACACACACGCTTACACATACATACACATATACACACATATACACACACTCACACATGCATGCACATACACGTGTAAACACGCATACGCACATACATACACCACTCATGCACACATGTGAATGTACATACACACAGGCGTACACATACACATCACAAAGACATGCACACACACACACACTCATACACACAGAGACACATGTATGCCCCCCCCGCACCCCACACAATTTCCAGTCATAAAGCTTTAAGTAATCTGGACTGGGATTTCTTGTTTCTCTCAGAGCATCCTCTCCATTCCTCAAAAGTGAGGCCATGCTTGCTGTATGGCCTGCCTCAAGCTGTTTCCTGTCACAAAGGGACTTTGTGTCTGTCTGCAATCTTCTGGTTTCAGGATACAGAGGGAGGGTTGGGTGAGGTGAGATGAGTAGAAGAGAATACGCTCACAGTTAAAAGCTGAAGGGTCGTTAGCTCAGTTACCTTCAGCTCCTTCGCTGGGTTTGGTGTTGCTTCTGGTAATCACAGCCTGGCCTAGCCTGGGAAGTCTCGGTTCCTGGCAGTAGAGGCTGCTGCTCCTTGGGCTGAGCCCTTGTATTTACGGTTGATTCCTTTGGATCCTTGGCACCTCACCGACAGCTGTGGAGGACCAGTTTTAAGGTCCCCGTCATGTGCTGGGGCAAGAGAGGTCAGATGGAGGCTGGCTTGGTGGCTCTTCTTTGGGTCTTAAGAGGCCCTTGAAAATAGACTGCCCAACTGTCCAGAAGCAAGTGTGGAGTCAGCAAAACCCTCCTGATGCAGGAGGATGACAGGGTCATGCGTTATAGGTGATGATTTGGGGGGGGGGGGACGGGTGCGAAAAACTGCTGCTTCTTCTCACTAGTAATCCTACCAACCATGGTGCATTTACCTGACAACCCACTGAGGTTGTCATTTCTTTGTTCTGTTTTCATGCTGGGGTTGAACTCTGATCCTTGAGGTACATGCCAGACAGTTGCCTTCCCACCTCTACTCTAACCCCCCTGATTTGCTGGGATTCCAGGTATCTCTTACCACCATGACTGGCCAGAAGAAAGTTAATTTACAGTTCTGTAGTTTCTAGTACATAACTGTCCACCATCTCCACATTCTTTGTCTCTGTCATAGATATGTATATTTGATTTAGTAATTATGGTAATCTAGAAATATTTGATCAAATAAGAACTAATAAATACTTTTTTATGTTGTAACATAAGTAATGAACTGCAATGATTCCCCTGAATTGGCATGTCTGAATTTATTTGATCAATTTTCTGGTTCTGAGCATTTAATCTCTAGACACTATACAAGCATTTTTCGGGACGATAACATGGTGGTAAGGTGGTTGCCTCACGTATGTGAAATCTTGGATGTAATCCCTAATACCACATTTTTTCCTTTATCCAGTAAAGATAATATTTTGTTTTTATATATTCTTATACATATAGTTTTTCTATTGGTTTATTCTTCTAAGGTTCAAGGTTAAGAATGTCTTACAGTAAAACACGATGACAATTTTTATAGCTTTGATTTCTTATTCTAAACTAATATTCAATGAAAGTTGTGGTAATCTGCATGGTCAAAAAGATTTGGGGGACTAAAGAAATGACTCAGGGGTCGAGAGCACTGCTGCTCTTCCAAAGGACCTCAGTTTGGTCCCCAGGCCCCATGTCACGTGGCTCACAGTGGCCTCTGACCCAGTTCCATGGGATCCCACACACTCTTCTGTCCTTCGTTAGCAGCCACATACATGTGGCATACACACAGAGAGATGCACATACATACACACAAATCTAAGGACAAAAGGATTTAGGAGTTTATTGGTTTTATTACAACCTTACCGGCATTGTGTGTTTTCATTTAAAAGTATAAGGGTAAGGAGAAAGTCCTTTTTGTCTAATGTCCTAATTGGCTTATTAGAAGCCAATTCATTATTGGCTCACAATATTCTTATCGACTAGTAGTCAGTGTACTGGGACTACACGTCCTCTCTTCTGGCAAAGTCAAGGAAGGGAAGAGGACAACATGAGATGAGATGGCTCCTCCCGCTGTGACATGTGCTCAGTCTAGGGTTGTAGTCCAGGTGTGTCCCCTCAGATTTGGATGTTGAAGTCTTGATCCCAGGACAAGAAAATCATCACCTGAAAGTCAAAAAGCTTCCTCATTTTGTAAATGCTTTACCAAATAATCGTAAAAATTATATAAAAACGTGTTGTGAGGAGGGAGCCAGAGCAATGGCTCAGTGGTTAAGAGCATGGCTGCTTTTGTAGAGGACCTGGGTTCAGTCCCAGTGCCTACATGGTGATGCACAACTGTCTGGAACTCATGTCTTCTCACACCTTCTCTTGATCTCTGCAGGTAGCAGGCATGCATGCAGTACACATACACCTACATACCTGCAGGCAAACATCTGTATACGGTTTTAAAAATCTTAAAAAGCTCCGTTTTTTAAAAAATTGCCATATAGGAACAAGGCCCATGCTTTAAAGAAATGTTGTCAAGACTGACCTTCCTTAGGAGGGCTTTGATCCTTGGTAAACTATGGGCTGTTCTGGGGAAGCTGCAACTTGTGTAAAAGGCTGATAATAGCACCTTATTTTATAGTGAGAAGAGAAACCACTAAAACCATTTAACCACAGGAAACCAGGGAGGGAAACTATAGCTTACTCAAATATTTGGGAAAGAAGAGTGTGCTTCAAAGCAGAGGGCTGGGCAGTTTTGCCAAAGTAGTTCTCTCTCTGTCTCTCTCTGTCTCTCCCTTTTCCTTTCTTTTCCTTCCTTCTTTCCTTTCCTCCCTCCCTTCTTCCCTTTCTCCCTCTCTTCTTCCCTCCTTCTAACCATTCTTCCCTTCTTCCCTCTTTCCCTTCCTCCCTCTGACTCTCCTTCCTCAGCCTCCCAAGGGCTGAGATTCCAAGTGTATGCCACATGCCTGGCTCAAAATCAGACATTGTTAATATCTGTTCATGTTAGTGTCCAATCACATGTTCAGTGATTACTGAGTACCTGACTGGGAGAAGGCCAGGAAGATTTGAAGCACTCCTGCTTAGGACACGTGCTGTGAATCCTGCAGTTTCAGGTGCAGGGCTCCTGAGCATCTGGGAAGAAGGTGTTTGCCACCTGAGCTGTCCACCCAGACTTTGCTTCCATGCTTCTTCATTCAACATGTTTGAAAGCTGCTTTAACTAGGCAGGGCATGAATATACTCCATGATGAAGCACAAAAGGCATTAATTCTCCTTGGAGCATTCCATGCAGACAGATACCATCATTTGCTGCCAATCTGAAATACTGCCACAGCCACAATGTAACGGCTCACTGTTTTGAATCTTTAGAATTGTTTTGGCGAAAATCGTTTTGGCGAAAACAAAGCACTGTTCCAAGCTGGTTTTGGGGGGTTTATGATTTTCCAAAGTTTGGATTGCATATGTCTTCCTGGGAAAGTGAGTTACAGTGAGTTCAATTAATGTTGTGAACATAATTTTATGATAACACGATAAGCAGCATTGTTTGTTATTCATAGAGCCTCAGGGTAGTGAACTAATTCTTGCCTCAGGGTAGTGAACTAATTCTTGCCACTTCTGTAGAGACTGGATAGCCAGACTACCTACCTAATAGCTATAAAACTGAGAACCAGACAAAGATAGAAAATTATTATTTCTGTTGCTTTCTTATCAGCCACTCTGGGCTGGCATATGCTTCAAGAAAGCTAAATGTGAGGTAGATGGCCATAATTATCGATTAAATTTAAAATCATCCAGCCTATTAAAAAGTAAAACAGAATGGCTGATAAAATTCCCCAGTTGGGTCAAGGAAGTGGAATTTTTGCCAGATACTGGAGCAAGAGGAAGCTTATTTATATTCCTGAGGCTTGAATAAGATAGTTGTGTGCTTGCAGCTGTCTTAATGGGCAGCCTCAGGAATTCCAGTTGTTTGCCACATGTGGGGACGCTCCCACACAAGGCTCTTAGTTAAGGATGCTGCCTTTTGAACTTCTATCCACAGAGACATTTACTATTGCATTTTATATATGTTAGACATGATGCAGGCGTTGCTGGATTTCTCTGAATAGTAAACAGATGTTGGTCCTGAGGTGAGAGCCACTGAGGATCCTAGGAAGACTGAAGTGTTAGCTTTGCTCCCCGTGTCCTGGTACAGAGAGTAAAGGGCTCTCTCAGACTGGGCCTTCTCCCCTAATCAGCAGAAGTAAGACCAAAGCCAGGGTCTTTGAGAAATGAGAGGCAGATGCTTATTGCTGTCAGGTGAGCCAGTACCACAGACTCATTTTGTTCTGTTTCTGGATCAATTGGCAATCCAAATTGTAAATGGGAAGTGTCCCTTGGTGTAATTGATAGTTGTGATTGGTTGCCTGTGGCATCTTCAGAGACAAAGAGAGGTGATTTTTGAAGAAGAGATGGGAATAATTTTCTTTCTTCCAAAGTTAAAAAGTTAAAACTCCTATTTGTGCGGGGATGGGGGGGATGCTTATTGGCCATTCCATCTGATTGCTTCTTATACCAGACCCCCAAGGACTAGCTAAGCTTATAGATACTTGGTTCACAAAACCCTTTTGTATATTTTTAAAGACTTATTTAATTTATATGTATCTGTGTGTGC